GCAAATCCCCACTTTCCCTAAAACACAGAGAGTAACGCTTACGAAATATATCAGGAATACCAGGACTACCAGGACAATCGATGTGAGGATTCCATGCTACTGATGCTGCTGGGATGCTCTCGACCACTCGTTGGTAACTACTGCCTGTTCGATGCATGTGCATTACTTTATTGAAAAATCGCCCAAACAATTACGTCAAACGTGAGAAAATCAAAACGGGTAGCAGGTATACATCGAAATTACGTTCGTTTTTTCGTAACATTAAAATTCCATCTAATCTCTTGCGCACTGTATTTCTGGTCCCATCCATTCAAAGTCAAACAAAGTACTGTGCCCCATTTCCCTGGAGGAAAAAATGATGAAAACTGATGAAAAAAAGTTGGAAACTTACAGCTTCCGCCCAATTGTAGACAGCCTTAAACACGGACAGCTCGCCGGATGGTGACAGATCTGAACGTGCAACAATTTTCTTCAGCGTCTCAACGTTGATTTCAGCAAGTGCTAGAAAAAATACGCATAGATTGCGTTGATTTTTGCAACTATACACAAATTCTTCAATATTTTTTCTAAAAAAATCACTTCGAAAAAGCTGAAATTTATCGCACATCTTTCTACGTCTTGTCGAATCGATGTTTGCATCCTCTCCACAACAAGTACAATTGTAATCAATGTTTTTCATCCACACATCCAGCAATACCATGGCTTTTTTATTCACAAAAAATTCAAAATTACAGCAACTTTCCCAGTTGCTTTTTCCGATGTTATTCTCATAAAAAGCGTTTTCCCCTTTTATTCCCTTACTTCTGACATAAACACATACCATCTAAAATTAAAATTACAATATAATGGCTGTCTGTATCATGGGTTAACTTCACCTTCTTTCTCTCCTCTCTCACTATGTTTGCCTCCTCTCCCGCTGATTTTTCTTTCTTTCGCATATCCGTCTTGCAAATTTGTTACATGACTATTCAAAACATGGTGGGTAGGAGGCTGTACTGATGATTTCCGCTCCTACCTGCATGCAAAGTTCGGTCTGTGTTTACAGCTAAGGGATAAAACACAGACTGCTGCATCGTAAAATGTCCTCTGGCACATGACACTTAAGTCCATTCTACTATTTTACTGCTTGATGGTAACCTGTTGGGGATCATAATGTTCCTTCCCCTCCCCCCCACCCCCCCTCTCAATGGAATAACATTTTAACGATTCTCCCGATAGGAACATTTCGCAGTACTAGTCATTTCTACCATAACAAATAACAAAAAAAAACAGTTCAAACCAGTGAAACCAATGCCAAAAAATGTGGTTTTTTT